AACTGGAGTCCCCGTCTAACGCCGTATTCGTAAACGCAAGGGAAATCCTGGTGCCCTATCTAGGACCGCTCTTCAGAGCGACTGACACAACGAATTTCTACCCATCCAATTGGAAGATTACAGAAACGCCTATATTGTGGAAACCGGGGAAAGGTGACTACACGGTGACAGGAGCGTATAGACCGATTGTCCTAGCTGATGGGATAGCGAGGCTTCTAAACACCTGCAAAACGAGATCTCTGGTTTTCCACGTCGAGAAACACAAGCTTCTACCAGACCACCACTTCGGAGGGAGAGCAGGAAGATCAACGACAGATTCCATACACCTGCTAGTCAAAACAATCCTAGACGCATGGAGGAAGAGGGAAGTGGCTTCAGCACTTTTTCTAGACGTCAAGGGAGCATTCCCCAGTGTGGCGATGGACGTCTTGACACACGACCTGAGGACCAAAGGGGTGCCGGAAGGACATGTAGAGTGGGTGAAGAGGAGGAATGAGGGACGGCGGACGATGCTGATGTTTGATGACTACAAGTCCAAGGAGTTCGAGGTGGGGGACGGACTCGACCAAGGAGACGCGCAATCCCTAATTCTCTATCTGTTGTACAACGCTGATATCCCCAAAATGACAAACAGACAAAAAGGAACAACAGTGTTAGCCTTCGTGGACGACATTGGACTGGTAGCAACAGGGAAGGACTTCAACGAAACTCACCGGAAGCTCAAAGAGATCATGGAGAAACCGGGAGGGATACTAGAATGGGCAGACAAGCATAATTGCTCATTCGGGATTGAGAAATTCCAACTGGTTGATGCGACGCGACGGAAGAAACCGAACCCACTGGGTACAGGACCACAGGTAGAAATGGATCGTCCACCTCTCAGATTACGCAGGCACATAATCCAACCAACGACGCATGCGAAATTCCTAGGAATAATCATAGATCAGGATCTGAGGTGGAAGAAGCAGAACGCAGCAGTGGTGGGGAAAACAGCGGAATGGATAGGGAAATTCAGCAGAATAGCGAAGCAGAAAGGAGGAGTGGCTTACAAGAACATCAGACGCCTCTTTGAAGCAGTAGCGATGCCAAGGATACTGTATGGAATCGACGTATTTCACCCTCCAAGCAGAACAGGCTACGGGAAGAGAATGTCAGCTCTGGAAAGGAAACTGGAAAGCATGACGGGGAGGGTAGCTCTAATGGTTGTGGGAGGGATGAATACATCACCTAGAGACGCAGCCACTGTTCACGCAGGGATGCAGAGGATCCAACACGCCATCCGGAAAGCGAACTACAAGGCGGCACTGAGGCTAGCGACGCTACCAAAATGCAACCCACTGCACAAGATTGTTGCCTCCGCAACAAACCGATACGTGAAACGGTTCCCGACTCCGCTACACCACATCATGAACGCGTTCAATATCGACATCGACAACACTGAGAAAATACAACCAGGAATGAAACTCCAATGGGACGAGAAAAGGGTGGTGTGCAAGGTGTTAGACACGAGAGAGGGAGCGATAGCGGAGGAAGAGAAAAGGAGAGATAGGGATGAATGGAGAGTCTACACTGATGGATCAGCCTTAGATGGGAGAATAGGAGCGGCAGCTGTGATATACAAAGGGGAAGAAGAGGTGAATGTTAGGAAGAGGTTTCTGGGGAGAATGAAGAGGCATACCGTGTACGAAGCAGAAGTCATGGGGGTCGACCTGGCACTGGAAGAGCTGGCACAAAGGAAGAGCAAAGGTCGAATAGTCATTGGACTAGACAACCAAGCGGTCCTAGCAACGATCGGAAACAAGAAGGCTGGGTCAGCACAACACATGTGGAGAAACATACAGAGGAACGTAAAGAAGGTACTCAGTATGAACAGGAGCACGGTTATCCGATTCATATGGACACCGGGGCACGAGGGGATAGAGGGCAACGAGAGAGCAGATGAATGTGCTAAAGAGGCAACAAAGATGAGGTCTGAGGGGAAGCTACCAGCCAGCAAAGCTGCACTACTTCAAGAGTATAACGCGAAGGCAAAACTGGAACGACGTCAGCTATGGGAGAAGTCACCGCGATTCCAAAAACTAGACAAATACGACCAGACGATGCCATCAAGACTATATGAAAAACTCATCAAGGGCCTGCAACGGAAACAAGCATGCATTATATTCCAGCTACGATCAGAACATGCCACGCTCGCCAAACACCTATACACGATTGGTAAATTAGGATCCCCAACATGCCACAAATGCGATCGTCACCAAGAAACCGTACATCACTTCTTGATGCAATGTGCAGGATACAGGAGAGAAAGAGAAGAGATGATGAGGAGCCTAGGGAGAGAGGGCAGGAGTGCGGGAGGAATCGTGAAATTGCTATCATCGAAAACAGGCATGAAAGCACTATTCCGATATATCAATAGGACTGGGAGATGGAGAAGGACTCTAGGGAGGTTTCGTGAGACGATAGATGATGGGAGAAACGCAAAGGAGGTAAACCGATGAAAACAAATAACATATAACTAATAATTCCCATACCACAACTCTAATCAACTATCAATATCCACCCAATTCATATTGTAGCTAATTATCTCCCCCGGACCTGAAAAGGTCTATTATATAGAAAAGAGTATACCCTACATAGATACGACACATCATAGATTAGAGATGTACTTCACTTCACTAGAACCCCCACATATGGCCCTGCCACTACCGGGGCGTATAATTAAAAAAAAAAGAAAAAAAAAAAAAAAAGATAAGTTGGCACATAAGGTTAAGGGTGACGGCTCTGTGCTCGTCATTGTGAGATTCGTGATAGAGATCACCCCAACCCGAGGGCCTGACCGGGTCAGAGCTGAGCACGACCGTCGCTGAACGGGGGCAGTTTCTTAAATACAGCGTACCGGGAATTATAGTGAATATTTAAATCGATCATCAATTATTCTGTTCGCGGGGAAGGCAAAGGTGAGCCTGATGAGCGCTAAGTTGTTCTCGGCTTGAAGGCCACTCATTTTGGACTCAAAAAAGCAGCGTTTCGAAAGAGAGCTAGGATTCGACGTGGTACAAGCAATTGGAAAATATCTAAAAATACATTTAAATTTATCGACAGGTAAGTATGAGCTCGAGTGAGTCGGAAGCATCATGGGAGGCGCAGTTGAAGTTAAAGCCTGATGGTGGTTGTTGGGAACGGTCCAGGGTCGGTAGTGGTGCAGTTGACTGTTGTCAGAAACATTAGTCTCTGCTGTAGATTTAGTGAGCCAAGAAAGAGCTTACAGCAGAGGCTTCTAATAATCTTCTCTGTCACGATTATATCTGCGTTCGTGCACTTGGGGTTCGAAAGGATACATTTCTCGAAAATAGCCTCGAATTTGATAATGTTCTTGCAAATGCACTTGGGGTCCTCGCTAAAACATCCAGTCAAACGGCATTAGGGAGATGTGAATCTGACCATACACTGCAAGCCACCTACATTGCGCATCCTACACCTTTAGCAGCCTGGAAAGCACAGTCGACCGCACAGTCTGGGAGGAACTTGTACCAGGTGCTTGACTGAGAGTTTGCAAGCGTAGCAGCAGCGAGAACAGTGTAGGAGACTGCCAGGAGATTGAACTTCATGTTGGATTTGAGAGTAGTTAGAGAGGATGCTAAAATTCAAGCCGAAGCTATCCTCCTTTATATAGGAACTCGAAACCGCTAGTCAACCATCACGAGCTGGCTGTAGGCTCTGTTGTGAACCGCCAAATGAACGTCATAACTAGAAATCTTTGTGGTTGAATATGAATTATCAGCCAGAGAACTGACAGCGCAACGTCAGTTCTGACAGCTACACTGGGTATCGTGCCAATAGGAAAGTTATCGGACGTCACAGGAATAACGGATGCGGGAGAAATCACAGAGCCGACCTACCTGAGGCTGTTGTGCCTGAGAAAACATCAGAGAGAAAGGGTTCCTGGGTAATGGATTGAATTTGATTATCGAGGGTCCTCAGAAACTCCTATGATTTACATTTCCAGACGTTGACACGGGGTTACAGGTTAGGTTTACCCGAGGATTGATGAAGCATCAAGAGCGCTTGTGACCTTCCTCGGCGCTCATCGGTGCAACTCGTGTGCCTAAGAGTCGGAACTATATCCGCACGGTTGAATAGCGTTTCTGCTCAGATGACTCCTTGATGAATGTGAAACTACTTCAGGCTGAATGACAGCCTTTGTATCATCGTAACACTTGTTGTTACTGTGGGCATTTAGTAGGACAACGTAGACCCGTTTAGCTCAGAACGATTCGGACCTAGAAGGGGTCTTTGAACTTCGAAGTAAATCTTTCCAGGCACCCATGAACCCGTATCCCCAGTCACGTTGATTGGGATAGACACCACTTGTCAGTCCTAAACTTTGGAGAATTATCGAACTTGCTTTAGCAGCCATGGTCGCATGACATCCCTCTTTCCGTTAAACTAGGGCACAATTATCACGTCGCATCTAACCCGGAGTATGTAGCCTCCTAAGCGTCGCTCAAGAGCTTAGAAACGAGTGCAGGACCACTAGAATTTATGGGTAATGTATCTCCGAGATAAAAGCTTGTCTCTGTCCCACAGAGTGGGTATTAGAGCCGCCCAATGCCATTGAAGAGCTAGTACTTACAGTAATAGACTTCGAATACAATTGTGATTTAACACTTTCGATCTACGTATTACCACCTGAGAGATGGTCCCGAGGACTACATTTTGTTTATGTCGGCAAGTTGTGAGACCGAATTAGGTTCTCGCCTTTATGCAACTTCAAGTCAAACTGAAAAATTTAGCCAAGGATTCGAAATAAATTCGCATGATGATTAGATAGTGGTATTCTTAAGCAGCTCTCTTCCGTGGGCATCCAGAGCCATACGCAATTCAACAAATACATACGGCTGAAAACCCCAGTGAGACCTCTCCGATGCTGCATAATAATTGCGACAACGCTTTAGGAATATGAAAATTTTCAACAAGACAAAATTTCAGAAAAAAACAGTTGACCCCCACCCGGATTGAACGGATGACCCTGAGGAAGCAACGAACCTTTGACTGGAAGGTCAACGATCACTGGAATCTCATACTCTACCACTGAGCTAGGGGGTCCATGTAATGCACTGACAATTGGTTTCAATGTTACGCAGGAATCGATCCGACGTTATGAGGGTTCGAAGCGGACTCTGGCCCAACTGATTGTAGCCTTTAACCTCGAAGAAATTGCTGTACTTATTTTTACTTATGGTTTGCCTGTCGGTTATTTCAGACCAGATCTAGACCCTGGAACGAGGACGACCATCTTTCAGCTTCAAACCGGAAGGCTCCTTCCAGTGTCTGCCACAAGGTCAAACCCCACGCCAAGGGCAAGGTGATAGCAGGGCCATCAGGATGCAAATCATTGCAATCCCTTATGGGGAGCCACTTGTCAGCCAAGAAAGCATGGAAGAGGAGCTTGTCATTCAAAGAGACATGAAGGTATCGTGTACAAAACAATTCCCTGCTCATATAGTTATTTTTTCTACACGTATGTCAACTACCAGTCCAGAAGCCATTTAGAAGGACAACGTGGCACCGGCGCCGCTGACGGACGAGCGAACGCTGCCGCTGGAGACAAGGCTGTAGCTGTAGGGGACGCTGGTGAGACTGCCGTTGGGAGCAGTGTTAGCGACTCCGCCGAAGTCATTTCCGCGAGCAACAGCGTAGCCGCCGTCAGTGGAATAAAGGGGTTTCTTGCAACCTGAGAAGAGGTTATTCTCTACGAGGAGCTGAGCGCCTGTATATGAAGAAGACGTAGTTAGTAATTGCTCAAGTTTTACTGGAAATTTTGTATGATCACTTACCAACGCGGGTGTTGATGCCATCGCCGTTGTTCTCGAAGAGGTTGTTGTAGATGTGACCCTTGCCGAAGCGGAAGGAGGGTGTACGAGAGTTGATATTAGAGAAGACGTTGAAAGCGTAGGTGACAGTGATCTTGGTGTCTTCGGATCCGTTGCTGTCTGAGTGTCCGACGAGGGAGCCCTTGTAATGATCGTGAAGCTTGCAGTAGCTGACTGTGACCTCAGTGCAGCCGTGAGTAATGTCGAGAAGACCGTCATAGCTGAATGGAAGGTCTTTTCAGTAAATGTAAAGCAGAGTCTGAAAGAATCACGCACTAGTCCTTGTCATGAGAGAGGTCACTGGAGAGGTCGACGTGGTCAACCCAGATCTTCGAGGCGTTCTGAATGCCAATAGCGTCACCAGCATCAGCCAAAACCTTGGTGATCTTGAGGTTACGGATGATGACGTTCGATGCGTCGAGAACGCGGAGACCGACACCGTTGAGAGCTATTGACCATGTTAGTATTGAAAATCTCGGGTGTCTGATGGAAGACTTTAAGCTCACTAGCGCCCGATTTTCCCAGAACGGAAGTGTTGCTTCCAACTCGGACAACGGTGTTACCGGTGATAGTGCCTTGATAAAGCAGTGTCACGCATAAGAAAAGATGTTAAACGTGCAACGAGCGCAAAATACTAACCAGAGATGATGACAACTTTCTTGCCAGTTCCTGATACTGCAGAGGTGAGGGCAGCGAGAGTGCTGACAGTGGTTACTGTTCCACCGGAACCTCCAGATGTACTGCGTGGTAATTAAAGATTAGCATGTGTGTCATTTGACATCATTGTGGTAACATACCCTCCATTAGTGGTAGCATAGCCGAGGTTTGCCGTATCGTTGGGTCCTGCACGCTTTTCGAGAGGAGTTCCCTGCAAACAGCCAAGTGGTTAGATGAGTTCGGCGCCAATCAGACTTGAGCTCCGAATGGGTGCGAACATACCGAAACAACGGAGAATAGTGCAATAGCAAGGACAGAGAATATCCACTTCATTTGGATGATGCTGGAGAGGTTTGTTTCAAAAAAGACGCTGTTGCTGATCCCTCCAACAAGACCTAGGGGTGTTTATATACTTCGAAGAGCGGAAAATGCACGGAGGACGAAGCAGCAAACACCATGCAAGCGGGCCGGACTGTTTCACCACTATGTACATAGTGACATCGCTTGATATGCAGGGTAGATTATGAAGAAGACAATCACAGATCACATTATGAGGAGCATCTGTCTTCGAAAGCCGAACGATCGCAGGAGATGAGGTGAGTTAGAGTACACGGGCCGTCAGTGTTACAACGTTGAATAGCTCATGAATTACAATGCCCATTTAAACAGAAAGCCTTGTATCATATGTTCGAGCAGTGCTCAAACAAACACCACAAGTTTCATGGGTGGAGAAGGCAAATTTAAGGGTGATTTCTATTTGCCGTGGTACCTCATGCTTGTTTTGAGGATTTAGAGTGGATTTGCCTACCCCGCGCGCACTTGAACCCTTCATATGGATATTACAAAAAGGCTAATAGCTCGATTGCATCCGTATGCCTCCGGAAAATTAAACTATCGAAGAGAACCCGATGGTAAAATTTGAGTCAACGCTTAAATTTCAGGCCTAGTTGCAAGGATGGCTGACGGGCATCCAATAGTTCACCCCAGCCTCTCAGTTGCAACCTCAAGTTGAGTGTTTGGTGGAAAGCGGCCCGCCAACTGGTTTCAAGTCGTCACTCTCCAGTGCAGTGATGATCGCGGCCATAGTGGAGTCAAGAGAAGATGATCTGAGCTGTCGCCCATTCGGCATAATGGGAATCGAAGCACTCGGATAATCCCAATCAGACGCCCACACACAATTTTCAGTCACCTGCCTACAATGAGGGCTGGTTTGCCTACTAGGATACAAGGGATAATTGCCATTGACAAGTATGTCGGTTGTGCCGCGTTTCGGAATATTATCTCATAGGAATACAATATTGTACCATTCTATTGTGGACGTTGATTACTTCGAGCATTGGTCTCACAGAATCATAGAATGCTTACTGATATCCATACTATCAGTTTTCTGTGGAATGAATGAACGGATATAAGCCACATTCCCGAGCTCTATAAACCCATCCCATCCGCATACTGTTCATGCCCTATTAATCTCGGATGAGTGTATAAAAACGACAACTTCTTGACTGGTGGACAAGGGGTGGGACCGGTAGCGTTTATAGAATGTTACTCCGCGAGAAATACGAAATAAGCTTTGATTTGGCGACAAGATGCACCTTTAAGTCTTAAATAAAAGGTCTTAAACTCTCGTTCAAGTGATTTGAGGGGCATGAAGCACCCGGACCGCGCTCATCTCGATCATGAGAATAGGGATACTTCTCGAGGGGCACAGCCAGGTTTATGACTTCAACATGGGGCGAGGCAAAATGTACACAGAAATAGAAGGGCCGCAAGACCGGACCGCCAGAGGGTGGTTAGTGAACAAGAACTCGATATTTAAGCCGAGTTTGATTGTATCTGCAACTTGACTGCCAACTTCTCCTTTCAACAGTTTTCATGGCCTAGATGACTATACAGAATTCTTTGTGCGTCGGCGTCACGTCTGACGCAAATTCGTTATCGATACCCAAGGAGTGTTCAGGTCGAATTCTGGTTCAATTATTAACGTCGAAGTTTGTGGCGACTGCGAGTCGATGTGGGGGCAATACTGTCATCGACCAGTACTTCGTTCCAACCGGAACTTGAAATTTAGCGGGGAAAAGTGACAGCTCGTTCCCGAGAGTGACAAATTCCCTGCCAAAACGTAACGCGGCACGAAGTCCTGGTTAAAACGAAGTACTGGTCGGTGATAGTACAAAGTAGAGTTGGGCTTTCTTCAATTCCTGTTGACCCACGCATCGGCGTTTCCCGTGCTGACAAATTCAATCACAACGACTCGTGCCTGTGCCCGTGCTTCGTCCTAGCCTCAACCCCGTCATTTCGGTCACTTAGTGTACTCATTCAATATTCCAGTTTTAAGCCCAGTGCAAGATCATATGTGCTTTTCACACACTTTAGTATGCTAGTCTGACCCCCCGCTTTTCAATTTTTGCAAATCCTCTTTAACTGCATGGGATCGGTCACTTCCGAAGATCTACAGTCGTCTTGCTGCTGGATTTATGATCTGGTGAGGGAAGTGCTATAAAGTATTTAATTAGCCGCTAACCACATGCTGACAGGATCATTTCCATGCCTTTTATTCAATTGGGACGGTGATTTGCTCACAATAAAGCGAAGTTACGGTTCTTCTTGATGCTGAAGCGATGCCATGATTGAACCGACTTTCGCCCGTCGTGACGCTGAAAGAGCTGGCACCCGCTGTCGCTTGTGTAAACGAGAGGATATATAATGCAGAGGGAATAATGTCTTTTTGACCTCCCGAAAGAAAGTTGCATCACAACTGAAGGGGTTTCTAGTGATTGGTTATACGTCCTGAAATGCTTCTCTTGTCTCACAGGTTTAAGGCACTTCGCCTTTTGGCATTCGTAGCCATTGCAACACTCAGCAGGGTCGCGCTGGTTTCAGGAGCAGATACAGATATCAGCATTTACGCCGATGATGCTCTTGGACAAGGCTGGCAGAATTGGAGTTGGAACACCGACGTAAACTTTGCCGCAACGGACATTGTATCGGGATCCAGTGGAACTTCTCTCTCTGTTCGCTCTGATGCGTGGTCTGCACTATCCCTGAAACTCGAGACGAACTTCGCTGGTTATGCTGGACTGAGGTTTGATATTGCTGTATGTCATGCATTCGTATCATCTTTACCTGCGTTGCTAATGTATAAAATATAGGGTGCTCAACCAGAGATACAATTCTATTTCGAGTCAACAACAGAAGGACTTTCTTCCCCTTCCATTTCGCTGTCGAGCATAAGCAAGACTGTCACTTCTGATAAGTTTTCGTCGCTGTTGATTGATTTCAACAGCTTACCAGGGACTGGTGCTCAACTTGTCAGTAGTTTGCTTGTTCTTCTTTGCTGTTATGTTAACTTCAATCTACAGGGTGCCGGTAACTGGGATCGAATCAACATCCAAGCTCAAGGAAATGGCGCCACTGTGAGAATTAAACTATACTCCTCACCTAAAAACGCTAATCGTATACATATAGTATCATCTCGATAATGTCGTTATTGTAAAAGTAAGGGTTCATTGTCCCTGGCGTTTGAATTTGCGATTTCTAATCGTGATTTGCTTTCAGGAAGTGGTCATCACTCCT